TACTAACAACGAACATTTCAGACTTTATGCTAGCTGTCTGTAGCCATGTTGTGGCAGCAATAGCTAGTATATTCTAAATTATAACTAAGCATTAGTATTTTACTTTATAGCTCCTGTTAATTTACATTTAGATTCTACCTCCTGAACAGTTAGCTTCTAGGCTCAATTACCTAATAAATCTTAATGTCTTTAAGCTGTTTTCACATTTGAGTTTTCAAGTTCGCTTCTTAGGTCTAATTAGCTTCGTGATTGCTTTAGTTCCTGTAAGTTCTGAGATCTTTTTATTTCAGAGTTAACTTGTCCCACCCCCCATCATGTGCTCCTTCTACCAGGGCACCATTGAGAGCGTCATCACTGGCTGCATCACTGTGTGGTACAGAGGCTGTACTGCCTCCTGAAGAAGGACCCTGCAACGCATAGTGAAAACAGCCAGCAAGATCATCGGCGCCCCTCTGCCTTCCCTTACGGACATCTTCAACACCCGCAGAACCATTAGCATTGCTGATGACACCTCCCATCCCGCACACTCCCACTTCAGGGAGAAGGTATCAGAGTCTTCAGGCCCACTCCACCAGGCTGTGAGAATGCTGAACACCGTCCATTACCCCCCCGGACTGTGACCCACCACAAAACATAAAGACTACCTCTGCTGTTTTGCACAAACCCACTACATTCCAACGTCTTGTTATATTACATGCAAATTTGCTGCTGTTGGTCATTTGCACTACTGTCTAAGTGCATCTCAGTCTCACAACCATTTGACAATCTTCTTGTTATTATTAGCACTACTGTCACTGATTGTACATTGTTTGAGTCATAGCCTATTAGGTTGTACCATTTAGCTTTATCCTAAATCACTCTTAGTTCTATTATTCTTTTTAGTCTATTTTTAATCTTTTATTCTGTTTTAGTTTCCTAAATGGCATGGCACTGAATACTAGGTGAGAAAGAAACAGTATTTCGATTTTCTGTATGTCCTGCACATGTAGTGACTTGACAATAAAAATCTTTGAACCTTGAACGTCTAGGCTCAGTTATCTTAGCAACTTCTTGTAGCTTCAATATAGCTACATCTAAATTTTTGCTTCAAGGTTCTGTTAGTTTAAAGTTAGTTTCAAGTTTCCATTTGCATGAAGTTAATTCCCAGCTCTTTTTTGTTTAGAGTTGGCTTCTACGGCCAGCTAACTCTTGAGTTAGCTTGTAGTTTCTGCTAGAGTTAGTGTTTACAACATGTTCAGGGGAACTTAATAGATAAACCAAACCAGCCAATTACTGGATGCTAGCAATGTGCAGATCAATCCTGACATATGGATACTTCTGATCCCAACATTCTCATACTAAAATATCAGTATCTCAACTAAGGAATTTGAGGTAAATATATATTATGCCAACAACAGGGGACACAACATGAACTAACTACACCATTACCAAGACAATAATATCCGGCTGACAGGAACTACTTCTCCGTCCACCTGTCATAGTCATATGCAAACTACAGCTCTGTTAATGTGTGATCCACTGAGAATAAAAATAAGAAAAACTTTATTAATCTCCACAGGGAAATGGCTTTGTAAGAGTTTCTCTATAGTGTATACGTTGTATAATTATACAAGAAATTCAGTACAATACAAAACAAAAAAAGCACTCGGGTGTATAGTCTGGAGTCTCACAGTAACAGAGTGAGGTCACACATGATCACCTGGAGGAGGATGTCAACAGCAATCCAGAGCATATATGAAAGCTTCCTTGGTATGTAGTGAGCCATGGACGTAGGGTGGCACCATTTGTCGTTAATAAAAGCAGCAACCCCTTATAAGTACACTTTATATTTCCTCTGTCTCTGTTTTCAAGACCCATCTCTTTTCCCTTGTTGTTTTTTATACAAAGTATTGATACTGTTTCGGTGATACCAGCCCGGTGTTTTCTCCAGGTATCAGACTGGAAATGAAATAAGTGGTATCGCACATCACTACTGGACGGATGGTGACTAGCTTGTTAGCTAACAAGATACATCATGCAATTCTGACAGCTTTAAAGTTGTTTGGAATGCAAATTATTTTTCTTGACGAAGCTATACCAACAGTTTCTGCTGTGCTCTTAATGCTAAATGAGACCAATTCTGTCCTGGATGATCTCTGTAATGGCTACACAAAGATAAAACTGATCACATTCTTATCTTACTATTGAACATGTAAATATAACCATTGTATACATCAGTCTGAAAGCTCTTCTGCTGTAAAGTATATACTGTATATGTACATACATTTATAAATACTGTCTCTCTTTTCCTCTCATTGTTCTCCTAATTTTGATTGCACATATTTGCTACTTGAATGCACAGTTTATTTTTTATTTTTATTGTTTTATTTTCTATTTATTATTATTTTTTCCATTGTTATTTTCTATTCCCTCTTGCCTACAAACACACTGAGAGCCTCTGTACCGGAGTCAAATTACTTGGATGTTCAAACATACTTGGCCATTAAAGATGATTCAGCTTCTGATTCTGATTCTGATTTTGATTCTGAATGTACCTTGAAGCAAAAGCGCACATGGTGATAACAGTGATTGTGATTTACCTCCAGCACATGGTCTCAGGAAGCTGTCGAAGGCCCGGCAGTCGTTGATCATTTCTCCCAGAGGTCTAGGACAGTCTTCAGGGAGTGGCTCCTGAAACTTCTCTTTGTACACTTTCTGATAGATGTCATCATTTGTGCAACCTATAAAATAAGAAAAACACATATTGAATAGAAGCAGTCAGGCTTTAGACCTGCCCATAGCACAGTAGCTACAGCTGCTGTAGGTGGCATTTTAGCTCCCTTGATAAAAAGCAACATTGTGCTGCACTATTTTAAGATATTGGTGATGACAACATTTTGTTAAGCAACCCACTTTCTGTGGGCTTTGATGTCTTTGAAATCAAATCTGTTTAGTAGAGTTCAGACTGTGGTTCAATTTGATTTCAAATCAAGCCCTGAGATAGTTGATAATGGGGTTGCTCAAGGATCAGTAGTAGACCAAAACTTTTTCCTGTACATAAATTATATTTATTTTCTGACACAGCATTGTAATGCACATTTTTATGCTGATTATACCATCTTGTATTCTATTGGCCCCAACCCAAACCAGGCCATCTCCAGACTACAAGCTGCTTTTGATGACTTGCAGTGCAGATCTTCCTGTTTAATTTAAAGATTTAACCTCCAAAAAGACAAAATGTGTGCATTTGACAAGGGCACAAGACACTGATGTTTCTAATTTGTATCCATCCATTCTGAATGGAGGTGTAATTGATACTTAAATACTTAGGCGTTTGATTAGATATACAGTAAATTGTGCAAAACCCATGTTGCTCAAAA